TGGGGAAAAAAGTGTAATGGCGCCCGCCCGCCGTGATACATTAAAGCTGCCGAGTATAAATCTATTTACAAGGTGTTTGTTGGAGGGAGCAGACCCAGCCGGAGAGTCCAATATGGAAAAAGGAGATGCGGGCTCCAGAATCAATATCACGTTAGGAAGGAAAATGGCACATTTTGAACTCACTGCCCTTAAATATCAGCACTCGATATTGTCTCAGCGCGTGGTGCATGCCCGGACTGAGCAAACAGATGAGCTGCTCTAACTTTCTGGGAGGGGAAAAGTGATGTGATCAGCATGATTTAGTCATAATCGAAATGCACCTGTGAGACCAGTACAAATGAGTTGCGCTGCGGATGTCACCGCTGTCAGGAGTGCGGTCAGCACATTTGTGGTTCAAACCCAAACGTTCTCGTGACAGCGGGCACATCGTTTCCTGCCGCTGTCACCCGCTCTCGTGCCACGGTGTCAGCCAGAGCGGGCACTGAAACCCCAGAGCCCGCTCGGAATTTTAAAGCATGTTTGCTGGTGCGTCTGTGTGTACCAAGTTGCTGAAGAGGAGAGGATGGCTTCCTCCGAATCTCCCAAACTTAAACTGACCTCAGCACAACCGTCAAAGGTTTTTCGTTTGTTTGTATTATTGAGTGAAAAGCGTTAAATTAATCCAAACTTTTGACAGGAGGAGGAATGAGAAAAACAAACGAGTCCCTGCCTTTTTTTTATATAAAGTTATCTACAATTTAAAATAAATACCATTTAAAAAAGTTTTTTTTTAATATTTTGCAAGTTAACTGGTAGCAGATTTGGTGTCATCAATGCTGTATCTCAGCTAGCAAGACGGTAAAATCGGGACCTTAGATTTAAAAACAAAAAGGAAAAAAAAAAAATGGAGGAAATACATTTTGTTCTTGGATCTCTTTACGTAAAGACTAAAGGTAGAAAGTCCTGGTGAATTCGCTTAACTTTAAAAACAATGGTGTCAAACATACGGCCTGCGGGCCAAAACTCGCCCTCTCGGGGGGGGGTCCAATTTGGCCCGTTTGATCCATTTTGAAAGTGGAAAAAATGCACAAACACTTCATGTTCGTGATGTTTTGTCAAATATTATTTCATTAGAAATAATATTTTCTAATAGATTTGTACCCATGTGCATGAAAAGAAAAGAGAAAAATGTGGACTTTTTGTGGGCTATTTATAGGGTATTTATGTTCTGATTGTCCTGGTCCGGCCCACTTCAAATCTAATCAGGCTGTGTATGTGGCCCCCCGGACCATGATGAGTTTGACACCGCTGCCTTAAACGGTCAATCCACTGCTGCGGCCACACGCTCAGAGGACTATGGAGTGTGTAGGGGAATCCCTGTCGCTTAAAAAAAAATCTGCTGCTGCTTTTAAAAATTGGTCTCAACTATCCAAACCCACACACTGCAAGCTGCGTTTTCAACCAGAGAACGTTTTCTTTGTGAAATTCTGGGGAAGTCTTTGGCACCAGGTCACAATCAGCTCCTTCTAAGGACTAAAACAGAGATCCTTAAGAATGTCCTTTGTCATTCTTGGTGAAAACCAAAAAATAAATGTGGATGGAGCCAAATCGAAACCTGACCTGACAAAAAAATATATCCTGTTAAAGTCATTATGGTCAGGATCCTTATAACTTTTTGATGGACTCATACATCGTTACAGGTAATTTCCACATCTATCTATATCTATATATATGTATATATAGATATAGCTATAGATATAGATATATATACATACATATACATATATATACATACATATATGCATATATACAAATACATACATATACATATAAATACCTATATGCATATATACATATACATACGTATACATACATATACATATAACTACATATATGCATATACACATATACATACATATATACATATACATACATATACATATATACACATATACATGCATATACACATATATACATATATAGACATATATACATATACACATATACATATACACATATACATATATACGTATATACATATATATACACATATACACATATATACAGATATACACATATATATACATATACACATATATACATATATATAAACATATACACATGTATACATATACACATATACATACATATGAAACCAGGCCATTTGCGTTTGCACAGTGTGAAACTGTCAGTGTAAACGTCTGTCTGAGAAACCAGGCCATTTGCGTTTGCACAGTGTGAAACTGTCAGTGTAAACGTCTGTCTGATAGTCTGAAACCAGGCCATTTGCGTTTGTACAGTGTGAAACTGTCAGTGTAAACGTCTGTCTGATAGTCTATCTGCATTCTATCCTGTGCAAATAGACCACGCTGAAACCCAAGCAATGCATTGCTCTGTAAACCAGACACACCTGGTACTGTCGCAGTGCTGCGTGGGCACCAGGAAAACCCCGGTACACAATAGTGTCCACAGGTACTGGGTTGCAAACCCAGCAAACAGTGTAATTACTGCCCTAATGAATCACCTGGAGTGGAAAAACCAACAGTGGAAAATTTCCTTAGGCTGGAACTTTACTCATTGTGTGACACTGAAGGTCGACCGTCGATACACAAGACGTGACGCCCGAGCAGCAGTCATTGCATCAGCGAATCGCAAATGATCATCATGGAACGTGACATTTTCTCACAGATACGTCTGCTGACTAATACGACTGGTGTCGAGGCAACTAGTTAACTAAATGTGAATTTTGTTTTGCAGAAATGCCACAGAGAACGACTTTCCTATAAACACTGGCTCTGCTCCGCTTTCGGCTTTTTTTCCCCCCTCCTCGACTCCTTTCGCTTTTGTAAAATTACATTGTCCATTTTAACCTTTTTTTTTTTTTTATGAAGTCCATAATGCAGCGAGGCAGGCGGAACAGGTGTGTGTCAAAAGCTTTTTATACTACTCTCTCCATCTTTTTGTTTTCCCCTGCTCTCCGTCTTGCCGTTCCCCCCCCGCTGGCTGCTCTGGCGTCGCCCTTCCTAACTCCACGTGTTTGCCCTCTTTTACCACTCTCCGTACCTTTGGCTCTGCCACTTTGCGCTGTCCGTCGCTAATGCCATCTCCTTTCTCTCTGCTCGCCCATTAGACTCTCTCTTTTTTTTAAACTCGCTCCTCTCTTATCTCAAAACGTTTCTTGCCGCCCTCCCCGCTGCCTGCCGCCCTCCCCGCTCTATCTCCATTTCCTGCTGTCAAACAGATTTACCTCCTGTTGCTAGAACAATATCACCTGCCTCTCCGTGCAGCAACACCTGCTTCTCTGCACGGCACTTCTGGTACATCTGGTGCAGGAGGGTTGGGGTCTCAACGAGAAAAGAAAAAGAAAAAAAAAAATCGCAAAAATCTACAGAATAATCACCGAGATGAAATATGTTTACACAGCTAACACGGCAAATCTCCCGACCTTATTCCCTGTTACCAATTTACATCTAAAAGCTGAGTCGAGCGGTGCAGTGACTTGTGTCATCGTGTGTGTGTGTGTGTCATGTGTGTCATGAGAAGAGACATGCTGCAAGTGTGTGGCTCGTCTGTCGGCACACGTGAGTAGAAGAAAGGCCCAGATGTGAAACTAGAGACAGAAAGGGAGGAGGGGTGGATGGATGGATGGATGGATGGATGGATGGATGGGGGCGGATGTGATCACAGAGAGCTGATCTCCCTGTCACTTGGCATCGATGCATGAACACATGTCCACACACACTGATGCATCACTTCACATACGGAACAAAAACAAGACACGTTTTCAGTCTGTTAAAGGCAGAATTAAAAAAAAAAAAAAAAAATTTGGTTATTTAAACGGCGACCCTCATCTAAAGTCACGTTTCTGGTGCTGTGCTCATTTGAACAAATGACGATTTAGCGCCTGATCAAATCAAAGGATCCGTTTATCAAATGAGTTTCTTCTGACTGGCCGGTGCATGAATAAACACTGTTTTATGGTCCCCTTGGTCAATTTATTCCTGGAGAAATGCATTACAGCTGGAGGCGTTATTGTGCAATAAAGAAAGTTCAGCAAAGCAAGAAGGGACCGCTATAAATCCTCGGTCACAACCAACAACATCCTTAATATCTTTTTAGTGAACCTGTTGGCAGCTGCCGCCTCTGGAATCGGCTTTTTAGACATTTGATTTGATGTGATTTTTTTTTTTTTTGGAATCTACCCCATGTAAACATTCCCAGCACACCGTCATACTGCATCAATAATTACATGCTAATTATGTGCTTCCTGTCGTAGCTAACGCACTAATAAATGTCTCTTTGCGTTCTATCATCCTGTCGTAGCTAACGCTCTAATAAATGTCTCTTTGCGTTCTATCAAAACTGTAAATAAACACGCGCCACATATGAACTGGTGAAACAGATTTTTTTTTTTTTTTTTTTCCCGTCTCTGCATTTCCTGGGGCGACACACACACGTGTGGGAGCCGTATGTGGGGATTTTCAAGATGAAAGGGTTTGTATTAATAAATTATAATATCGTAAATTATACAGTGTAGGAAAAGATTCTCTAAGAAGCTGGTACTGGTAGCTGAAGCTGCAGTCGATGTCTACAATTAGACAAGACGTTGACACACACCAAGGAGGATTTTTTTTTCCCCTCTCCTGTAGGGGGTGCTATTGTCATATTTGAAGGCTCTAGTCCCTACTAAAACGACATGGGTTTAAAATCTAATGCTGTAACAGAGTCAAAAAAAAAAAATTCCATAAGTAATTTATTAAAAAGGAATGTTCCAACATTCCATCGTTGGATTGTGCGACGTTCACTTTCTTTCATTTTTGTTGTTTTTTTTTGGGTACTTTCTGTCCTTCGTTATAGCTTCCAAGTGTAAGTCAGACTCTTCTGATGTCCTAGATATAAGGCTAGGTATTAATAGAAACTAATACCAGTACCAACTGCATTTGGATACTGGTTCCTGAACGATACTTTTTTTCCAATATTAATTTGATTTTACATTTTAAATTACAGTACAAATCTTAAGAGTTTTATTTTCCAGCTTTTCACGAAAAATCGACACGTCTGCTTTCTCCCCAAGCCCGCTCCCGGCTGACGGTGTGTCTCCGACAGTAAAGAATGTACCCTCTAAGGGTCAAGTCGGTTTTATTTGTAGAGCCCAGATTGAGAAAGTCCTCACTGGACTTCAAAATGTTCTCCTAAAAAAAAATGAAACATGAGGAATACGGAAGCGTATGGAGTCAAAGGGTGTGGATGATGTTTGCACAGAGACACCTGGCTGCCAGAAAAAAAAAATACAAATCGCCACCTCGCACAGTCAATACATCCAGACATCGGCGAGGGCTGATAGTTCACTAGGCAGCTGTTGCATCCGTGAGTGTGAGTGTGTGTGTGTGCGCCGCTCAAAACACACACAGTTCCACCACTGCTGCTGCTGCTGCTGCTGCGTCAGACGCAACCGGAATTCTGTGGTGGTAACCACAAAACATCGCTGGTAACCACGTATGGATTTTTTTTTTTTTTTGATCTTGGTCATGTGATTAACATCTGAGTAGCAAAACTTGACACCGAAAAATGAAGCATTTTCTTATTTGATACTCTACAGCCCCCCCTAGAGTATGATGTTACCACTGCGTCAAGTACTTATCTTATTCCGTCTGACGGCAAAAATCAAGTTATGTCGCGCCGGCGGAACTGAATTTTTCCGACGGACGCAGCTCTTCTTGCCAACGCACTGTAAACAGTAGCGCTGTACTTCAGTGACATAATGACAAACAATTATGTCCCCGTACATGTTCGAAAATACATCATACATTCTGGCAGTTTAAAACTTTCCATCAACGTTACGAGATGTTCGGGGACAGTATGCCTCCCTTTTATATGAACTGAAATCAGAGAGAAAACGTGTTCTTATTTCATGTGATTTAAGAACGAGAAAGAAGTTTAAGTTCTACACAAGGAAAATGACATCTTCCCCAGAAAGGGCTTCGGCTGTACTTTACCAGAAGAGCATTTCTCAGAAAAGAAAAAAAAAAAAACACGTAACATTCACTGCATTAATCATTTCTCTCCCGGCTCAGTGACCCATATGATAATCACCCTTTTCAGATAGTCCGTAATAATGGTTATTAAGTACAGGGGGCTAAGTATCGCGGCAGCAAGTGGAAAGACAGTCGGATGGTGAGGGAAAAGAAATTCTGCTGAAGGGGTTTTAGAATGTGATTAAGAAAACATGTTCACATCATCCTCCGAGAGCGGACGCGGATGCTTCAGAAATGTCCTTCAAAAAAAAAAAAAAAAGATTTTTGTTGTTTTATTTCTGCCCTCATCGCTTTGTTCGTTTAAGGTCACGTGTCACGACCGGTCCTGATAATGTTTACTAAATGTGTACTCTGGGCTTTATGCACTGCAGGGCTTAAGGATTTGTTGGTCGGGGGCTTTCGAAGCGTTAAACACAAGCGTTTCATTGCCAAATGTGTTCCATCACCTTAAATTAGTTAATTAGGAGTTATCATAGGGCTTTACTGGATATTCAATAAAGTCCTAAGGAGAGGTAGATTAAAACTTTTAGCAGGGAATCGATAACAGAAAAGGGCAGACGGGACAAAATGTCTACGAGCGTGTGTGAGTGAACGACAGAGAGAGAGAGAGAGAGAGAGGGAGAGAGAGGGACAAAAATTGGATTTTGGGCTGTGCCCTTGCTGATGTAAGTAAAAGTCTGGGTGTCAAAGGAATTGAAACCTAAATGTACTTTGAGGTTTGCCGGCCACTATCTGACACCACGGCCCTCATTTATCAAAGTGTCGGAGACCGGAGTGCAGATCTGGGACCAGCCTCATACGACACTAACTGATCACCTCAGGTAGTAGTAGCAAAGTAATAAAATGTAGTAGAGTAGGCCTCCTGTGTACACCTGTGTCCTTCCCTGCTAAGGTTTATTTATTTATTTATTTATTTTCCCATCTGAGTACCTTTATGATCGCACCCTACGAAGGTTGAGATACACCGCAGCTTAAGATTTAATTCCAACTTTACTGGACTTTGGCCAAAGAACGCATTCTTATTACAACTCTGAGACGTTTAAACATTGTTCATTGTACACTGTTTAAAATATATATTTATATGATTGAAGTCGCTAAGCTGTCGGCTGGACAGACAGCGATGCCTGTGGTTCGTCGTCATCCTCGTCTCATCTGTCCCTGGCTTTGAAGTAAGCTAACGATTAGCACCTTTTCTGTTGTGCACATTTTACTGCTAATATATATATATATATATATATTTTTGCATTGATGTTTTTTTTGCCAAGTTTTTACATTTAAGAAAAACTTAAATTCTTTGAATGCCTTAATGAATCTGTCATGCATTTACAGCCAAACCTGTGCCTGTGCTAACTTGCTAACAGCTAACGGCCCTCTGAAAACAGCAGGATGTTGTCGCTGGATCTGTGTTGTTTTACACTCTGGATATCAAAGAGATACCAAAAGGAGAGTGACACGGTGTGCACAGCGAGATGCGCCGAAATATTGTTTTATGACCGAGAAGATCCACCGTAAGCCTGACAAGAAAAACCAAAGCGGCGGCGTGGAGCAGCGGAGACACAGGGTCTGCCCAAGGACTAACTTTGATTCTCTATCGAGCGGGCTTGATGGATGAGTCCAGGTTTGGCAGAAGCAAGCCAACAGGGTCTGCCGGACTGTGCGAAAAGTTTTTTGTTTGGGTGGAGGAGAGCTGGCAGAGGATTGATCACCTGGCATTAGCGAGAGCATATATAAATGTTTAATTGTTTTTTTGTTTTGTTTTTTTGGTGATTGTACTGTGATGTAACGCCTTTATTAACGTTCAAGCTGTCACACATTTGAGACATGTACTCAACTGTACGCCCAGCTCCACACAAGATATGCGCTGAAACATATTAGCGGCTACTCTGGCGGTGAGAAGCGCTGAAGGGGAGTCTGTGCACGTTTCTGTGATTCCTTGGTTAATTTGCTTTTTTTTTATGTGGAGGGCGTTAAAGGATGCGAACGTACGTGTGCATACCAAGTTGAAGTAGCTAATCAGAGCTAAGGCTCTGTGACAAAAAAATTACGATTGCCGCAGGCAGAAATCAGTGGATTTGAACAGACAAAATGACATAAAACCATGTAGGATGGAAAAAATATATATATAAACAAAATATTAAATAATGTCTGATCAAATAATTAGAAAGTAATTATAATGATAGTTTTGTTTTTTTTTTCCCCAAACCTCCCGAGCCTGATTTGAACACTTAACCATTGATTAATGAGCTTGTGGACTTTTAGTCTTTTCACGAACGTTTTTTTGCCGAGGCACAGTCAGGTCACTTATTTTCCATTTTCCACCCATTTATATTAGTACGGCTCTAAAGTGGACCATTAAAAATTCAGTGGATTCCAGCTCACAGTGTTTGCCTCCATCAATCTGATCTTACCTCACTGCGGACCATCTGTGGATGCACACTTTTGTGGAGGTTAGTGGTCGGCTGAGCCGGAGTCCTTAAGGTTTTCTTAAATTGCGCGCTGTCGCAAACGTCCCCGTCGAAGTTGCTCTTCCACACCATCACCTGTTGGCGGAGCACAAGATGTACATCACAAACCCTCAAAAAGGTTTTGCCTGGTGTCTATTGCTTTAAGATGCACAAAGGAAGAGAGTTGTTTTGATTCGTCGATGCTAATCTAGAAGTCGATTATTTACCTGCTCATCAGCGCCTCCGGTGGCAAAGTACTCTCCGTTCCTGGAGAAAGCAACACTGGTCACTGAACCCTGAGATGAGCGGGGGGGAAGAAAAACACTTAAAAAAAACACAATCAACAAGGTCGTCTTCTGCGAAGAGTCAAGACACCAGCGCAAAAAAAATCAGGGAGACATTTAGAATCGCGCACGTTTGTGGAAAAGTCCAGACTCACACTCCCGTAGATAGAGAGAGATGGAAAAAAAGACATCCGGAGATGTCAAGAGTCGGACATTGATGTGTGTATGTTGCGTGTGCTTGACCGATGACACTCAAACCCGCCACAAAAACCCACCACAAACTCTCTCGGTATATACCTCCGTTTATTTCTGTTCTAAAGGTCACGGAGCAAAAGACACGGTCACCTGTAACAGCCCCGAGACTCTGACAGTGTTCAAACGGGAGACGGAGGGAGGGGAGAGGAAGCAAACAATAGAACATAAAAGGAAAAATGGCGAACAGGCACTGTGAGGTAGCTGGCTCCTGTGGCTAGCACCCAGACGAGCTGGTTTGGGTGAGGAATGGTTTCCCAGAAGCACCTGAGAGAAGCAGACAGTGTCACTATGGCAACCAAACGGCCTGACAGACAGCATGTTCTGTCTGTGCTCTGACTAATGCCTGCTGCCAGGCTGGCACTTGCCACGGTCAGACACACATGAACACACATTCAGAAAAATACATACACACACACACACACATACACACACAGAAACACTCACACAGTCAGTCAGCCGTGTGAAGCTCACTGGCACATTACTGAGGCGAAATAAATAAGAACGCGGCAGAAAGCAGACAGGTGCCAGATGATGTTTACAACCACTCGCGGCTTAGTTGTTGTTGTTGTCGTTGTCGTCGTTATTGCTATTATTACGAATACTTTTCTTCTGCACAACGCGTTAAAGTACAAACAGACATTGTACGGATTAATGGTAAATTATGACCAGTTATTTTTCTCGCCTTCTCGTTTTGATTTGAAATAGAACTGCTCTGCATCTTTTTAATTGATAAATAGTGGACTACGTGTCATGCGCAAGAAAAACCAACCGCTAATCTCTACTATTTTGCTTGTTTTGATTTGAAATAGAATTGCTCTGCATCTTTGCAATTGATAAATAGTGGACTACGTGTCATGTGACCCGCAAACTTTTTGACTCGTGGCCCACAATAGGTCCTAAAATTTGACAACAGGGTCGGGTCAGGAGCAGAGAGATGTTAGTTGGTGTAAAGTAAGATAAATGACATGTAAAAGTCATGCATAAAAGCTAAAATGCTAAACTGCTTTTTGCCTTCTCTACGACCGTCTATCGGGAAAACGTGGGCATTGCAGGGAAGAGACGTAGAAGTATAATCGCAATACAAGCCAATTATATAATTTGGATAATTTTGTTGGGCCGGATTATAATGCTAAACGGGCCACATCAGGGCCCCGGGCCTTAGTTTGCCCATGCCTGGACTGGACGGTAAATGATCACATTTGTAAATCTGTGTTTATCTTTTATTATGAAAACTCTTGGCCCATGATTGGAATGAAGCGCAGGTAACACGGCGAACGAAAAAGCAAATAGAAACAGGGTGATAAAGGGAAGGGCCACATTTAGAGCTGACTCAGCAATTTATTTATTTTTTTCCCCACATGTCTCTAAGACATCCAGACAGTTTGTCCGGCTTGCCAATTTTTTTTTACCGAGACGTGAGAGCAGGGAGGCGCTCGAAAAGGAATTGCAAGCAAATGGACAGGATAAAGGAGGTGTGAAATACGAGTAGAGGAGTTACAGTGAACGAGCAGAGAGAGAGAGAGAGACGATGTGGAGGGAGGAGGTGAGGGGCGAAAGGAACCGAAACAGAAACAGAAACACAGGTTTGCTTCCTTCCAACAACTCTCAAATGACTCATCGTGAGTGGGCCGTCCATCGGCCTGGCAAGGACTGAAATATAGCACATCCATAATAATAAAAAAAAAAAAAAAAGGCATCATATGCACAAAGTCACACCCAGGATGGAAAAGCAGACTGAAGACTTGACAAATTAAGATCTGATATTACAGCCGCTCTCAATTAATACGGAGAGGGAACGCAACGGTTCAGACACTCACACTAATGAGACAGCAATTCATTTATCATTGGCTGAGAGGATATTTTGGTTCAACAAAAAAATCAAGTGGAAGCCACTCGTGTTATTGTTGAGTGGGAACAGATCAAGGTGAACAGAAGAAGAACAGTGCTCTCTCTCTCTCTGTCTCTCTCTCTCTCTGTCTCTGCCCTGTATAAACATTTTGCGAGGTACCTTGTAAAATAAGAAGTTTATGTGTAAATAAATCAATCCTTAGTCTGGATGATGAACTATAAACTGCAGCACCTGATGGTAATCATAACATGAGATGGGCATTGCTTTTTTACTGCTTTTTTTTTTTGCATCTTACGTCGGATCGAGCGTCTAATCTACTGATTGGAGGACGTTTACTGCTTTTTTTTCTTTTTTAAGTTGCATCTTACGTCGGACCGAGCGTCTAATCTACTGATTGGAGGACGTAATTCTGTCATTTTATTTCGTCCGCCGTCTGTAGGACAATCCTTCGGAGGACAACTATTTTAGGAATATCATAACACTACGTCGCATTTAAGACTTTGTTGTGAAATTACAATCCCGATTGATCGCGATTAATGACGATTAAAACGCACCTACGCGGCAAGACGTAATTACGGAACTCATGCAAAAGGCGCTTGCTCCTTTATTAGGTAGTACACGGCTTGACTTTTTTTTTTTATACGCAAATTCATACTGTCTGCTCTATTCAAACCTTACAACAACAGAAGAAGAATCACTTTCAGCCGGTCCCTTTAATCACAGCAGTGGTCCGTATAGTGGTTACGATGGATGGCCTTTCTCACACACCTAACAGAGACTAGTTTAGGACAATGTGATATCGAACGCAAAGCCTCCTGGTGGCAGGAGGGAGTCCAACCACAACACCAATCCGGCCCCGAGCTCTGAAATGTGAACTGTCGCCAAAAGGTAGGGAGACGAACCGAAAACCCTTCAGAGTCGGCCGGGTGCTTACCTGGTGTCCATGCAGCGTATACAGCAGCTTGCCCTCCACCAGGTCGAGTACCTTCACGGTCGAGTCACTTGACGCAGTAAGAAGGAAATTTCCACTGGAGTGAAAAGACAAGCTGTTCACGACACTGTTGTGGACTACAAAAAAACACACACAAACACAAAGGGGAGGTTTACACTCACAGGCGAGTAATCATATACAAGTGCACTTTTTCCAATTGTTGGACATGGAAAAATCAAACATTTATTACATTCACCCAAAGAGATGTAAGGGTGAGACACATAAAGCTAAATTAAAATCCTACAATCATATTTACATGATTTACATAAAGCTCTATTTTCTATACACTCTATATTCAGATTGGGTCTCTATAATATGTTGCTCAAAGACACTTTGGTAGGTATTATACCAATCACTACCAACAAGGGTGCTTGTTACCAAAACTGCACACCACAAACCCAATACTGCAATATATTAAACTTTTAAAACAGCATATATACCATGTTACATCAAGCACTTTACAGCAATCTATACTTTTCCGACAAGAGACGCTTTGTGACTAGAGGAGACAACTGAAAAATTAAAAAAAACCCAGCAGCAGCAGGGATAGACTGTTCAAAAGTGCCCTCTGCTGGCAGCAACATGCAATGACAGGAAAACACAACCAGGCACTGACAACAGGGTTGTGGGAGAAATAAATGTTGGAAAATAACTTTTTTTTAAAAGGAGTTATTAATTGTAAAGAGGGTCTCATTTGAGGAGGATTAAACCTTATCACTACCATCAAACACCAATGTCTGCTATTTATTTTATGTGTAATGAGAATGAAACAGCAAGAGCGCTGCATAAAATCAATAGTTTTACACTTAAGGCCGAGGTTAAGTAGAAAATAAGAGCAGAGTTATCTTCACTTTGAATCTCTTTGAATGAGATCGATTACCGGGTTTTTACAATTATTTTAAATCTTGCAGCGCAGAGTTGTTAGTAAATTAATTGCATGATAAGTCACCTCGAGAAAGCGAGCACGGGTTCGAGATGGGCCTGTTATTTACAGAGAAACATTTGTTGATACATTCTGTTTAAAGTCAAATTAAAACCGTAAATTGAATGTTTTTTTTTGTTTTTTTAAATATAAGAGAAATCTGATTTAAATTTACCTTTGTAGTGTTGTATCATTTTATGAGATCTGATGTCCCACACCTTAACAGAGTTGTCAGTACCGGCAGCAGCAATGCAAGTCCCGCTCGGGTGAAAATCCACATGATTTGCATATCTTAGAAGAAAATAACACATAATAGAAACAATTAACAACACGACCTATTCGTTAAAGGGTTGTTTTTTTTTAAACAAATGTCTATCTTTCCCACAGTTCTTCAAGAATGACTTGTAGAGTTTTGTCGACTATTGTTACTGCATTTTTCATAGTAAAAAAAAAGCACTTGCAATGCAATATGACAGTCCAGTAATGGGAAATTGTCAATAATTTTTTAATTTAATGACCCCCAAAGTGATGGACAGATGGAGCAGGGCTCGTTTACACTATAAATATATTGTATAAAACTGCAGTATATATTAAAGTGTATCTAATCCATGTATAAATGCAGGTTTATTGAGTATATTCATAGTTTTATTTTAAATATGCACTAAGCAGTACTCAGTGGACCTCCAGAGGTTGAGAACCTTCTTGTTAGAAACTCTCATCTAATCCAAAACTCTCACCCAACATGTTCATAGAAGGAATGAATACACTCTCGGCTATTCTTGTCCCACAGCTTAATGGTCTTATCGTCACTGCATGACACAATCAACCGATTGTCTGGCGAGAATCTGCAAAAAAAAAAACCCAAAAAAAAACCAAACATTTATTTTCATTTAAATTCATGAATTTATATTTTAACACGATAGAGGCTTTCCAAAAATGTACAGTACTTGTGAAAGGATTCTTACTTAGCACATCGGACCCAGTTGATGTGTTGGTTAAGAGAGAACAGGAACTTTTGTCTGTGGACCGTCCACAATTTGACAGTTTTGTCATCCGAGGCAGTGACCATAGTCTGTCCATCTCCAGAGAAGTTAACGCTGCGAACAGTAGCCGTGTGAGCCCGAAAAACAGTCGAGTCGGCCTTCCTGTATGTTCACGGACGAACAAAAAAGAAAAAAAAACACAACAGCAGAGTTTGAAACAGCAGCAAGCGTGTTCTGCTGAAATCCTTTTTTGGAACTGTTGGAACTGTTAACGCTTAAGAAAGAAATTCCTAAATAAATGAAGAAAAGCAGGGACCTAGTGGGCACCCAAAGACGAACAGTCTTGTCCCTGGAGGCCGACGCCACCAAGTGGCCAGAGGGGGAAAACTGAACAGAGAACACAGCATCTTTGTGTCCTTCAAAACGATACGCTCGCATCTGAGGTTTCATGTTCCAGATTATCACGGAGCTGTCCATGGAGCCTGTGACTGGAGAAGGAGAAGATAAAACACACCACGTTAGAACACAAGCAAGGCAACAACACCGCAGGTGCTTAGGTTGGTCCAAACAAGTAACACAAATCCAGGCAGTTACCGATCTGCTTCATGGTGCAGCTGAAGTCCACGCTCGTCACAGCATCCTTGTGTCCCTTGAAGTGTCTCTCCAGGGTTGGATCAGACTATGTAGACAATGAGAGGGACAGTGAGCACTAGCAGCATATTAGGACCAGAGCAAACTTGATTTCAAATCGCATGCATTTTATTACAACCACGTAAAACCACAGAACCGTAACCCGACCAGATGCGCTGAAGATCATTCAAATTGTCCGTCTAATATTTTATCACTTAGCAGCTGCATCTCATGTATATTTAAAATGTTTTGTGCAAAAGGACAGAGATTAATGTTAAATCATGGTATTGTGACATTTTTATCTAATACCACGCTATCATAGCAACATACCAAAAACGACTGCCTCATATTGTTGAGTTATACAGTGAGTTATTACAACGTGTCAGATAAGGCCCCAAAAACATTTGCTGTTGTGTGAGAAACTTTTAGTTTAGTTTCCTTTTACATGGTCATGTAAAAAAAAAAAAACTAGGTGACTATATAGAACTACAGGTTGTACAACTTTCCAACACCTTTAAATTAAAAAGTCTAATAGGTTACAAAATATTGGTTTAAACAAGTGCACTAGTGAGTTGAGATAAAAGTCAAAATATCAAAGTATCATTTTAGGTAGTGACATGTGCAGTTTTTTTTTTTATCACATATTTGTTTGTAAATATCTGTGTTTTCGTAAGGGAAGTTCTGCAGGTAAGGAGATATTCCTTGGCTAATTTATTTGCTCTGGTTTTCTATATTAGCTCCATATCTATGTACATTTTGGGAATACTGATGCAAACGTTGTTTCAAGCCGAATGCACTGAATGCGACAGTAACACTTCTGGCAGGGATGGACTTTTTTAATATCCCTCATAAATTTGAAATATTTTACGCGGAAGTAGAATAATATGACGTCAAACGCCCCCCTTTATGGAAATGCGCACAGGCCACAAAGCTGAAAACTCGACTTGGCAAATAAAGTTGAAAACCGGCGCCGCTGAAACTTGTAACTTTTTTGGGGGGACTTTAGATTTTGTTAAGTTAAAACAACAAACACACAAGCCTGTGTATCTTAAGTATTCTTCGCAGACGGGGCCTCAAATTCGTCTGTGATTGTGGATAACAAACAAAGTAAGCCTATCGGGTTATTTTTAAGCCCAGTATTTAGACTGTCAGGCACATATTTTTGTGACTGTCACAAAAATGTGACAACACTAACACTAAATGTGCTGTTTCTGTGCGTTTAAGCTGAAGGTGGAAAAGTTGACGTTTGTTACTCTTTTAAACACTTTTGAAGTGGCGTGAGAGAGTGTGTGTGTTATATGGTAGGCAGTGCTGCCTTAAAATACAAACGCAGGGTTTATTGCCAAACACAGAGCAGGCTGAGTTACCAAGGAGACGTTAGCCGCCCTAGCTGCAGCTCCTTGTCAATAAGTGGCCGTTAAATTCGGAGCTAGATACTCTCAGCTGCCGCATGTTTGTGTTTAGGTATATATATACAACATGGCTGAGCTGCATGTTATCGGCCAGATCGTCGGTGCGAGTGGTTTCCCACAGAACAGCCTGTTTTGCAAGTGGGGAGTTCATATAGGGGGAGCATGGCGTCTTCTGTCCGGCCTGAAGGAGGGTCAGACCCAGGTGGATATGCCTCAACTTGGAGACATGGCGTACTGGAGTCACCCCATCGATTTGCATTTTGCTGTTAAGGGAATCCAAGGCTGGCCAAAGCTTCACCTCCAAGTGTGGCACCAGGACTCCTTTGGGCGCTGCCAGTTGTACGGATACGGCTACTGCCACATCCCTTCCAGCCCGGGACAACACCGGATAAACTGTGTGACCTGGCGGCCACTGGGATCCTGGCAAGAGCAGTTCTCACAATTGTTTGTCGGTGGTGGACCGCAGCTCCGCAATCCGGATTTGATATACAGCGGTGCGGATAGATACAGGCTGCACACAGAAGCAATGGGGACCGTGGAGCTGGAGCTGGGCGTTATCATGAGAAACTTTGACAAATATGGCGTCGAAAGTTAACGCTGTGATATTTAGGGAATTAATTGATGTGCAGATGGTGGAATTGATTTTTTTTTTAGATTTGTTGACTTTTATCTAAACTGCTTTTGTACTTGTATACGTAAATAAAGAAAAAACGAAGTTGCCTGACAAGTTTGTTTGTTTGTTTCACGTTCGTACCACAGTATTATATGCACAAACGCTAGATCAGGGCTTTTGGATAATCTTTTGGTTTATAAATGTTTTATATATTAATACTTTCATATTTTCTATCGTTATTTATAATGTTTTTTTCATTTATAGATGATAGATATAGGGGATAGATGACCTCCTAGAGTTAAACATGCACACCTTGGAGGTGGAGCAGATACCCCTACATATATTTGTAAAATAGGGCGACTTCCTGTTCTGAAAAAGGTTGAGGATTCCAGGGTTAGATGGCTTTGTCTGCAATAGAACAACCAAGTATCTACATACAATATAAATACACGACACTGATTAATGTACTATTCAAATCTAACATACACATTAGTGTGTATAACACCAGGTACTCTGACAAATACTCTGAATCACCTTGTGCAAATTTTGCGTAAACACATACGTCCTGATTTCATATATTTTGAAATGTACACCTTCAAAACTTTGTTCCACGGCTTCATCCCACGTTTGCAGCAACATGTTCTCAGGATAATGTTTAAGATGGTCAAAACACTCCCCTGACGATGAACATGAAATGCCTTTGCAGCTTTAAGACAATTACTACAAAAGTAAACGTATAAAACAAGGGAAAACAACACCTGCGGCCGTTAAATTGGTGACATGTTTTACGACGAAAACTGCATTTAAGAAACCAACTTTATGTCAACAAGCGTCAGACTGCTTCACTCACCATCGCTGATGCCATATTTCCCTGATATCGTTCAGTCCCCGCCCTGTCGCCAAGAATAGTGGCGTTAACTGACACGTTAGACAAAATATACGGCGACGTTGGTTGCACTTGCAGCTGAAATTAACAGATATTAACGACAGCCACTTGTGAGCAACCGTTAGCTTGCCGCTGTTAGCTCTGCGGACAACACACAGTTGAGTTTACGCGCCGCTATTGGGCGCTGAGCGTCTCCAGGTTTCTTAAAGGGGAAGGTGAAATTATAATCTGTTTGTCGACAGAAGTCTTATCGTCACCATGATCAGTATGTAGAGAAATAACGCAATAAAATCACACATAACCGTAGGAATTTGTTGAAGAAATTATTTAAAGTGTCTAACCGATTAAAAGAAATCCACATAGGAATTGTAGTGATGCACATCTCCCACCAGATGTCAGAATTGTGTCAGAATGACTCCTTGGTAGCGAATTTGTATATAAAAGGACAAGGAAGTTGTATATTCCGTGAGTCCAGAAGGTCGTCATTCAGTTCGTTATTTCCACTGTTGCCTAATCAGGCTATTTTTTAAATCTTTGTTCAGTCGACTGATTGTTAGAGTCGGTGGAGTTTTGTAACATGTTGATCAGGTTCGTTATTTCCATTGTTGCCTAATCAGGCTATTATTTTTATCTTTGTTCAGTCGACTCCACTCGGTGGAGTTTTGTAACATGTTGATCAGTGTCCTATAACGTCATTTCTTGAAATGTTACGTATTTACAGTAAACTGTTTTGTAAGATTCAATTATTTTTCAATGTGTAAAAAAAAGGAACTCAAACATGCAAATGTTTAAAAAAAAAACATTTTCAATTGTGTTGGCTAATTTCAAAAGCCATTAGTAATTGAATCCTTATCTTGTCTATGAGCAAAACTGTGAAATATTAGCCTTGGCCGCTACACAATGTTATATTGTTTATAATTTCATACTTTATGTACTTGTTGGACACTTTAAAATGATAAATCATCTCCACCACATCTTTCTAAAACACACCTTTTACCCGGTAGTCTGCGAAGAATTGCGTGTATGTATGAAAATAAAGATTGTGTTATAATAATCCTCCAATAGAATTGTTTGTACTTTTAGACAACTCTGTGCTGTATACTCATTGGCTTTTATAGTATAGCGTTTTGGTGTCTTGTGGAGTTCAGAGCTGTGGTATGTCAGTCTCAGTGCGTTTGGGTCAACGTTTCTCTAATCGACATCGACCGAAGCTTAAACATAAATATTTAGGGTGGCACTAGGATGAACTAACTGATTAGTTTCCCGTTTCTGTTTACCACAAAATTGACTATAGAGTGAATAGCTCAACTCGTGTTTCTCATGTTTGAAGGATAAAAACAATATGCCTTCCTTCACTGAACCCTACGGCACAAATATTGACATAAACAAAAATACACACACACAAGGTTAAACAAACAAACAAAAAAGATCAAATGCCATATTTGCACAAATAAGTGAAATGGTTCCAGGACTAGTTTGTATTGACTGTCAATATTTACACTGAGCTAATTCCTCAAGGCCCTTCCAATCATCAATACTACCGTGCACATTTCCTGGACGCATCAGAGCATTCCATCAGCAACAATGGATTTACATTCAGAGGGTAGTGTTGCATAAGAGACAAAAAAAAAAAAAAAATTCCATACTATTACTCAAGCCACACCTTGATACCTATTGTCAGTGTCCTTTGAGGGCAGGAAGGTATTTAGTTGTTCCA